AGGGAAAGAAGTTGTGTTCAGACGGATAATATTCTTTTTCCACGACCTATCTTTCAGCTGCTAATGGAATGCATTATCAGCTCTCAATAGAATATTCACTTCCGTAGTCATGACACTGGCTTTGGATTAGTAATCAGATGGATTTATGCCCAAAATCCTACACCCATTTGTTTCAGAAGCTGCCTAAGCAGATGCAATCCTGTATGCAAATTTCCCATCACCATGAGTCTCAAACTGGAAGAACAATTTAGATAGAGCTAGCTACAGATTAATTTTCCAAAAAGCTGACATGCTTGAATTACTCCAGTCTCACATTTGTGTAGACACAAGAACATACCTGCAATGATTCTGCAAAAATTACTTTGTTTACATTGATTAGTTCACTTAAGAGATGGTTAAAAGTTTAAGCATTGCATCACTGTCTGAAAAGCCTACACATCAGCAATTTGGGTTGGTAAAGCATCTTGTTATGACAAGATAACTGCACAGAGTTTACCATGGTCAGAGTCTTGAGATGTCTTCCAACAACCTCATGTAAGACTATGTCACAAGGTAAAAACTTGGAAAAGTTCTTAAGTAATAAAAATATTCTCCCTTTCAGAAAAGGTGTTAACTGTGCCAGCCTGACAGATTTTAATCTCTATAGTTAAAATTAAAGTGGGCCATATTTTTGCATTGAGTATAGTAATTTAGACAACATGGTTCTACAGATACTTTTAGAAAACAAAAGAATACTGTCCAAAGTGTACTGCATAGGTACGGGTACCAACTGCTCTCCACCGGAGACATCCTACAGTAGCTATGGTTCAACAATCATAAAGCTACTGAGCAGACTTCAATTTTTAATGAACCTCAAACAATCCTTAATTCCTAAAAAAAAAACCAAACAATTCTGTATGACTGGGCATGTTTTAGGATTCAGCTGCTTTTTTTCACCACTTAGCAACACAGCACAAGAAATTTAAGTTCCCATGACTTGCTTTTCGTAAGCTAAATTTCATATTACCTCCAAGAAAAGCATATACACATTTTTATACAGCCTGGAGTGAGATCAGTGTAAAACCAGGAGCTTAGAATCATCATCAGAAGTGCCAGCTGCTCATAATGTTCACAAAACACAAGTGCCTGAAATTCAGCTATGCAACAGTTGGTGCCAATCTGCTTATAAAGGAAATGCTGCTCAGGCATAGTCTTCTTACAAAAACAGGACATGATGGCTTCATTATTAAGTGTTCAACAACAATCCTCAGTTCGGTGAACAGAGTCCTGAAAAATCAGATTTAAAGACAGTATTAAAATACTACAATATTTATCAGAAGTAAGTTGTATCTAAATCTATCTTTTTCATTCACTTTTTTTCTCAACACCTCCCCATTCTAGTTAGCAAGTTCTTTAGAGCAACTCAGTATTTCAGCATCCTGCAAGAGCTTGAGAATTCTTGTCCTTTAAACATTAACATTGCCATTAACTTTAATCTAGTCACCTCCAGCTGAGGACAGCTATACAAAGAGCAGGAAAATTCCACCTTCAAGAAAAAACAAAAAAACAAACAAAAAAAACCACCAACTATTAAAAAAAGAGTAAAGCTTTATCAGAAGTAGTGAAAAGGAGCTGAGAGGCAATTGTGTATTTATGCTGCTGCCTGCCAGAATACAAGAACCCTGCACTCTAGAAGCAATTATTAAAAAGACAGACATGACAAATAAAACCCACAACACTAGTTTCCCTTAAAGCTATATAAATGCAAAAAAACCCCATCTTGGATAAATAAATTCTATTGGAAGTTAGTTTTAGTATTGCACAACTTAAATTATTTTTACTAACCAAAATGGTAAAGGGCCTTCACAGTCTATTTGTGAAAAAACTAGACATGTACTAAGACAGAACAATTGATTTCTTACAAAATAGAAGGGAATAGGAGGTGATTAAGTTTATGATTCTCAGACTTGTCTTTGCATACCATGGCAGCAAAAGCCATTTGGCTTGGTACTTCAGCAAACCATTTTCTAATCAGGTAGTGATAAGACTGGAAAGTGTGTTCACAAAAATCTTACACTACACAACACTTGTCATAAGAAAAGTTCTGAAAAAGCACTGATCAAAGCAAATCCTTAAAAGAAATATTTATGGTTTCCAAGTTTAAAGTAATAAAAGTTGGTCAAGCCAATGCTCAACAAAACCAATAAAGCTCCACTTCAGTTATAGCTAACCTGACTTATTAATTTAACTAAAGGAGGTCATGAACATGGTTAGGATCATCCACTGATTTTATTTTTTTTTTTCAATCAACGTTACACAAGTTCATAAGTGCCTATTCAGGTACAGATCCAGCCTCATATAGCTCTGGAGCCTAAAAGTATGGATATATTTCTGGTAAACGGTTACAGAACTATCTAAAGACTTTCTTCTCCCAAAGCAAAGTTTTTACTATGCAAGCATGTTCTGAAGTCTCCTATTCAAGAATGATGGCACATTTCAGAAAAGTTCAACTTGAACCAACTGCTTTGGTTGGGGTTTTTTAGCACCCAAGTATGTAATTACCATTTGCACATTTAGTATTATGAGTTATGCATCCACTTCAGAATGAGAAATTTCTGAATGCCTTAACACTACAGTTAAATGTTCTTTTCCAACATCAACACTTACCGACAGTATGGATTTCGCCGAGAGGAGTAGCGTAACGTAAGAAACCTATAGTAAATGAATGGCTGGAGCAAACTCCCTTGCCCACTGAAAGAGAACAGAGAAGTAGAGCTTAATACCAACCAAAAACCCTAGAACAGGGCTTTTCCTAATAAAAGCAAGAAAACTACTTAGGCTCAAAAAAAAAGCTAGATTGGGGTCACATGGGTTCAGGTAACCTAGATCTGACAACTACATAATCATATATTTATGAAAGCAGAAACTTACATTATCTAATAAAACTGCTCAATGAAACAGTTAAAGAAGTGCTGTTCTTGTATTTATTTTATACTTTGGAGGGGGGTCTTTTTACAGGGGCTTGCAGTGAGAGGACAAGGGGTAATGGTTTTAAGCTGAAAGAAGAGAGATTTAGGTTAGAGATCAGGCATAAATTCTTCAGTGTAAGGGTGGTGAGACACTGGAACACGCTGCCCAGAGATGTTGTGGGGGCTCCATCCCTGGAGGTGTTCAAGGGCAGGCTGGATGGGGCTCTAAGCAGCCTGTTCTAGGGGAAGGTGTCCCTGCTCGTGCAGGAGAGTTGGAACTCAGATGATCTTTAAGGTCCTTTCCAACTAAAAAAATTCTTTGATTCTGTGATGCTCAAGCTTCTTTGTACGCTTCACTTCTGGTGGTGGGCAAGGAATGACAGAAGTGATGATGGCGGACACCTATTCAGTATTAAGAAAAAGCTTGCTAGTCGAGCACAAAAACTGGCCAATAAACAAGCCACTTACAGACAGCTTTTTCAACTGATTATAGCACATCTATACCATACTTCTAGTATCTCTTGCAAAACTTCTCAACTCACTGGAAACTATTATAGATTTATCGAGATATTAACACCAAGCTGATATCCAACTATTTCAGTTGCACTGAAATTAGGTTTTGATACTTTATAAATCTGCTGTTTCATGCAACAGTGCTGTAGAACTGTGAAAGGGTAAACAAAAGCCATACACTGCAAAGCACAGGAATACCATGAGTTTAATTTTAACGGCTAAAGCTTCCTTATACAAAACAATATGTAAAAGCACTGTTTGAAAGGATCATGACACTTCAAGTAACTAGAGCTCCTCCAAGCATAAGCTATATTTTTACCCAGAAGAAAAAAAAGCAAAAATTGAGACACAGGAGGAAGAAATCTTGCACTTGTACAGTATTTGCAAACAATTTAATATGCTAAAACAGTCTAAAAAACAAATTCTCACATTAGCTGCATTTAACTATTATTTTAAAATCTGGTATACAAGCTTCAGTACATAATAGATGACTTACCAAGTAGCATCACTTTACATGCTAAGCTCTCTCTAGAGAGAGAGGGGGAAAAAAAAGTTCTCCTAAAGAGAAGCTTAAACATTTTAATGTTTCAAATACAGATACAGAGTGTATCAGTTGGCAAGTTGCCTTACAATGAAATTGTATCCTTCAGGCCTGAAGCAAGTGTTCAGCTGACATATCAAAAGATAAAGACAAATTACACATTTTATCAACTTTCAGGAAGATAAAGCCTCCCTTCTGCAGCCTGTGACGACCACTCAGGGCAAGTGCCCTCACTGTGCTATGACTTGTATAGAACAAAGGGTATTATTCCTCCCTCCAAATATAAAAAGGCTTCAGTGACTGGCAGGTCATTATGCTTATAAGACTTCAGTAGGATTCCAACATGCATATGCTCAAGATCTCCAAAATTAATTCAACAGGCTGGACAACAGACAAAATGAAATAGAATTTTAAAAAGATACATGGGTCACTGGTCAAAAATAACACAGGAGAGGACATAACCTACTCCTGCTTGCGCACTTTTAGCACAATGAAATTTCATGCCACTTAAATTTCTGGAATCTAGTCAAAAAGAAGTCTGGAATAGTCAAAAAGAACAGTCCATATTCAATGAAGGTGAAGATCTTAATATTCTATTACATGGACCCAAATTAAACTGAACAACACAGGAGAACATCAGTTACAGACCTGAAAAACTTTGATTTGACCCAACAATGTCACCCATGCTGTGAAAGGAAAGGTGGTTTTGGTGCTCAGTTATATCAGAGTGAATACTTTTTGATTTCATGATGCACCAACTTGAGAAGTCTAGGAACCAATCAAATTTAACTCTAAGTTCAAGCCTTGGTCAGCCATAACCATACACACGGAGACTGGTGGCCCACAGTGAACACAATTACAAAAAGTAACCTTGTGTATAAAGCTTCTAATTCTTAAAAGTATTTATGGCAATTCTTACCTGAAAAGCATAAAAATTGTAGCTGGCATGAGGAAAATTTCATTGCAAGCAATGAATTTTAGAATATTCTGTTGATTAGCATTCAATTTGTCTAAAAGATTTCTCAGAAAGGGCAGGCTATTTGAACTCCGTGCCTTTAAAGAAGAAAAAAAGATTGCCAGAAAACATGAGTTACATCTATCTTCTCCAGCACAAAGAAATCAAACACTAACCATTATAGTCTACAACTCATTTCACTATTTTAAGACTTGATCCTTTAAAAGTACTAAGATTAGTATCCCAAATAACACGGCTGGAAGTTTTAAACTCCATAATTACATGGAATTCAATTAAAAATATGTTGCAATTCCTTCATCCACCCATTTTACATTGAAGTGCACAAGGATGGCCACGAGCCTTACTCTCTCCACTAGGAGGAAATGCCTAAAGCAGCAAGGTAGCCCAGTTAGGTACACCAATGATTGGAGTTACATTAAGCCGCACGAGAAAGTTCACTGAGCAGCAGGTCCAACTGGCAAGTATTTTGCATCCCAGCCCCACCCTGCAGTCTGTCATTTTACTACTGAGATAGAATATTAAGCTTCACAGGCTATGGTTTAGCTTGAAAAGACATGTCTGAAGTGTCAACTGTTACACAACATTTGCTTCCTCCAAAAACAGCATTCAAAGAAAAATAATTAGTGTCAACTCCAACACATCACTGAATCGTAACAGAAGGGGAAAAAAAACTCAACTCAAAAATTACTTCTCAGATCCTCTGTACTGTGATTCCACACTACAATTTCACTCTTAACTCCTCTAGTATAGCTAAAGGAAACTATAGCTGAAGTTCAAATCTGTTTCAAAACCCCAAGAATACCAACAGCAATTATTGTATCATAGATCATATCATACTTACATCAATAACTTTCTTTGTATATGTGGCAGCATGAAGCAAAGAGAACAGCAGAACTGGAAAAATACTCACTGAAGAAAGCGATAAGGAAAATTATAGGCTGCAGAAGTGCTCAGTTTCTCCATTGTTATTCTAACACACAAGAAATGGCCTGATGGCAAGAGGTTGGCTGGAGTGACCAATACTGGATTAAGGCATGTATACATTTAACTATATTTATAGTTCTGCCCTTAGCTTCTTATACTTGTGTATGTTATGTGTGTATGCAGGTATGCAAAAGTACAACATACACATTATATTCAGCATGAAAGACACACGAGATTATATCTTAAAATCCATCTTATGTATGCAGTTATGTTTTTATTAAGATACTACAAAATGCTTTTCTTCACCAAAGAACATGGAGTTGCCAGCCACTCATTCAGAGCAAGAATGTTGACACTTCTCTGCCAGAGGATTTTAGAGCAAGAATGTTGACACTTCTCTGCCAGAGACAATGTAAGAGTAGGACATTAAGTGTCCATAAAATGGCACAAATAAAAGACAGTTCTTACATGTCACCTTTGATAAGCCACAGAAGTATGTCATCTTTTACTGACTTTATCTGTTTAACAACTTATCTGAAAAAGCTGCTACTGAACAATTAAGTCCTACTTACAGCAAAGAGTCATATATACATGTTGTACTTGTAATAAATGAAACTTACCAACTTCTCAAAGTATCACCTGAGCCTGATCATAAAATCCACAGGAAAAGAAAATGTAAGTAGCCAGAGACAGCAGGCACTAGTTAGAGGTGGTTAACCCGAATATGGATCAATCAACATAAGCCTCTCCTACTTTACATGGAGTAAGTTCTGTGAATAGCACACATACCCTAGTTGAAACTAGTTTTTCAAATCATGGCACAGGTGATGAAAGGAATCAAGTTAAGATATTTCAAAACATTACCAGGATGACACAAGTAAAGGATACTTGTAACAGGGTAGGAATTTACAAAGATAAGAGAGTACAACAGGTAGTGGCAGCTGTCCTCGAGCAAAGCCTGGGCCAGAAACGCCCTGCTAAGCTGAAAGTGCGGTAGCCTTTGGTGTAGTCGGAGGGCACTAGTAAGAGCATTTGCCAGCAAGGCACGCTGATAAAAGCTTGCTGCTTCATGCAACCTGCAAATCATCAGAGGAGACGTTACCATATGAACCAAGCCCCTGCTCAGAAGTCTTCCACCCTTGAGAATTGCATCACAACTGCACAATACCTGAAGTATTACTGTACAAAAGCACTACTGCCAAAATACAATTTAAAAACATTAGTAACATTGACTTACTGCAGATGCTCAAGGTAAAACAACTCCATATATGACTCCATAACCACATAAAAACATGCATCTACCACTACTTTACAGATGCTCAAAACATTTTCCAAATACATCTAGAAGTGTTTCAAACCAATCTAAAAATCTTTAAACTGGTCTGACAAAAAGCATCCAAGTAAACTGAATAAAATAAATCTACCCTTACACTAAAAGCAACTCTATGAAAAGGAAGTTTAGAGACTTCATATATTTGTCATGCTTTTTTACAATATTACAATACATACCCTAGAAGAGGCAGGACAAATAAAGCTGAGCAGTAAACTGTGAACAAGCGGGAAATCCACATTGCTGTATCCAACTTGTTAGCCATCAGAAATTGCTATATTAGAAGAAAAGAAAAAACCCAACCCCCACAGAAGGTGGTATCTTAATACTTGAACACAATTAACGTTCTTCCCTTCTATAATAAATTACAAGTCTTTCCACAACCTTGAATAAAATCAAATTAGAGCTTGAAGCAAAGAGCACCTTTTTGTCCCGTGCAATACTTGACTCAGAGGATGTTAGTAACCATATCAATAACAGCTACACTTCCTCAGAGTCAAAAGGCTCCTTTATACACTACAACCAAATATAGTGGCAAGATCTTCTGTGGAAGTACTTTCTTCCTGTACAATTTTACGAAACAGCCAGCTTCAATATACATTACTTTAGACCAAACTGATTTTATTGCTTCAAGATTCCTTTTAAAATACATTGCACACACCCGGGGCACAACTTCCACACTTCTTCTGGGAAAGAAAAAAAAGAAGGGGTTGGGTAAAATTAGCCTAACTACATCATAAGGAAAGTGGCATCGTTTTGGCCTACATGCCTAGCATCAGAAAAGGAAAAAAAGCAAACGTTTAATGGCAAACTAGCGCCTCTCCTGTTGCTGAGCTCTCCTCAGCCACAGCCCTCTTCATCTCCGATATCGACCCCACACTAGAAAAGCTCTAAGGAAACACAGTACGCTTTCAGCCATTAGCTGCCAAAGACTCAAAACACCAGTTTTCTTTCACTGGAAAGAACGAGATTGCTTGGTTTGGTTTTTGGGGCTTTTTTCTGAATTTAAACCAGCCTTTGAAGTTGGCTTTTCCTCCACATTCCTTCAACTTTTTCTTTTTTAAAATGACCAGAAATTAACTTGCCTAATCAGCAAGTCTTTTCATACCATTACCTACCGACTTGCACAACATAACTCCCGTCACACAAAACCAATCTCGAAGGATACATTTCCAAGAACGCCGGGGCAGCGACAGCACGTTTTCCATTAACAAACGACAGAACCGCTTCCCCTGCCCGCGTCGGGAAGGGTCACCC